GAAAGAAAAAAAAACCAATTTTGCATTCGCGTTAACCTTTATGTCTACAGCAACATACGCGGGTGTGTTTTGCGTTTTCAAATTGCTATATCTTTGAAACTATACATCGGATTAACTTGAAATTTCATGATATCCGCAACAAAAGTATTCTACACCACATTGGAGTTGGATTGGACCACCTGGATTAGAGATCTGGCCATTTTTTCGACTTTTACCCCTTACATCAACAGCTGCATACCCGGTGTAAAACCCCGGGCGTCGCAAGGTTCGCAATTGGACGCACCAGTGTTTTATAATGTGGAAGAAAATAGAAAAATAGTGAAATAATGGATTTAGTATTTTGTAACGTTTATTTTAATCAACTATTTTCGACAGTGATATATATATATTTATGTGTGCATATACAAATGCGTTTTTGATTACCTTTACGAAGTGGCCTGGTAGCTGCGTTGTGTCCTCGTTGATCTCCAAACAGAAGTGAAAAATATAATTTGCGGTTTCTAAGTTTGGACCGCCGGACAATAACTGACGTGAAGGGGAAACTTAACGAACGTTCATTGTCCGGCGGGATACATTAGTTAACGGCTTAGCTGTTGTTAATATATACGAGCATGTATGAGTGTATATACATGTACATATGTACATATGCCAGCATTAGGGCGGTTCACCAAAAGTACGAAAAACTATTTAGGCTGAAGGCCTAAACATGCCGGCCCCCTTGCGATAAGCAACTTCTACAAACTTGACCGCGTCTCAGCTATCAGGCGCACTTGTTCGGTTGGAAGAATAGAAAAAATTTTAATCTAGAAATATTCATTTGCATTCCAGCAGCAGCTTCGGCGTCCAACAAGTTCGTCCTTCTTTCTTTGTAGCTACTACAGGAGTGAAATTGAAAAAGGGAATTAAAGAAATAGACGTGGTTACTATTCAAATGCACTTTATTCACGACTTGTTTTATATTTATATAAAAATTCATTGTTTTTTTTTTTCTCAATAGAAATAAAATCCATTTAAACAAAATTATGGCTATAATAAAATTTCATTTGAAAAAAAAACTATGCTCTGCAGACTCCGGAAAGCACCCATCCAAAGATGGTGCTCTGAGCCAGCAGAGGCCCGAAGGTATTCGGAAGAATGCCGGGTAGCAGAATATCGGCGTATACGTCGGTGCCGAGTACCAGGCGTATCGGCGCGGACTCGTAAAATTTGGGATCCGCTAAACGGATATGTGCGTATGTTGCGGCGACCGTCGGATCTACACTGCTACTTGGCGCTACTCGGTGGAAATGGGGCGTAACCACGGCATGGGTCGCAACTCGTTTATTTTGGCCGTATTTCCCTCGGAGACATACGAGACTGCCCGTTTGCTCGTGTTTGCTTTAGCCGTAGCTCGCGGGCCAGATCCGCAGATACAATTGTCGTTGGAGCGCAGACGTCAATAAGCGCGCGGATTAAATGCAAGCGCCCTCCCGCCTCAATTTTGACCACGGCCGTCGGAGGAATAGCTACCATCGGGCGGAAGGTTGGCCCTACAATGGGGTTTTTCGCCGATAACCCATTACGGAACGCGCTTGGTAGTGATAGCTGGCGAGGCCTAGTCGCCAGTCTATCTTCATATGCGGATGGCGATGGGTTGCGCGAAGATCGCTGCAGGCGGAAAGACCGAGTTTCCGCTCTGCAGTCTCGGTGGCGTCGCTGATGCGTTCGCTGTCGTTGGTGTGGTCGCTGTCGCTTGTGTGGTAATTGGCGCTTATGCGGTCGTTGATGATCGCGCTCGTGTTGGAGTAAAGGTCGGAAAGACCTAGTTTCCGGTACCCTTGCAGTAGTCAGGTGGAGAGGCCGAGTCTCCACTCCGAACTCTATAATCTCGCCCTCTTCAATATCTGGACGGAGAGGCCTGGTCTCCGTTCCAGAATCAGACGCGTATAGCGAGATCGCCGCCTCATAATTATTGCGCCCTTCTTCTTCGACTTGGACGCTCCAAGGCTTTTGTGCTTCGTCTGCGGGTCGTCGAGCTTCACCGAGGTGAAGCGTAGTGTGGTGCTTCTCACCACATCGACGGCATCGTCCTTCGCTGGCACATCGTTCGGTTGCGTGATCTGTGGCTAAACAATTTCCACAGTATTGACCAAGTAGCGCTTCTCTTAACCTTTCTTCAGGTGTTTTCGCGCGAAAAACCGGGCATACCCTAATTGGGTGATTTGCGTCACATAAGTGGCACGGCACGACGAAGCGATGGGCATTCTTTGCGGCGTTTCGCTTTACTGCACTGAAGCGGGTCATGGTTGTCTGAAATACGCTTTTTTTATTTAGGTGCCTCAGTTAAGTTATATTTTTTTTTTGTACGTTGTTGTTGGGTGGCGAGCGATTAAATATATAAAAGTAAAACGGATCGGCGAGAAAGTTTCGTTTTCCTTTTGCAAATCTTAAATTTTACGATCTAAGCAGGGCGTTCTTGGGCATATCGAAATTGGAAACTGGCACGTGTAAACGCAGAATTACCCATGTATTGTGGTTGATGGGTCACACCGGTGCTATATATTTTCCTATGCAGGGTTGTACCGGAAGACAAAAAAATATATGTCGCCCTGACATTATGACAATTCTAACAAATTTCAAAGGCAACATGGGAAAGTGTCAAACTGAGGGCATTCGCAAGAAATTTGTTTTTGTTCAGCTGATTTGTTATTTTTTTTTTTTTTCAAATTGATGGCTTAAATTCTGCCAATGTAAAACAAAACTTTCTTTGTACTTTGGAGACTTTTGTTTAGCCAAGATCGACACCCAACAGCCTGGGGGCCGAAAAAAAAAGTTGAGGTGCCACTGTATGTTACCATTGCCAAAAACAGGGTAGCTCATATCCCAAAAAATTGCAAGTATAATATAAAATTTTTGGTAAAATTCTTATGTACCAGCCAATTTGTTTTGCGCAAAAGAAAGTAGAGTATCTAGAGGCAAAATTAGTGCATACGTATCTGAATACGACACGGCAGAAAGAAGACGAAAAATATTTGCAACGATAGCCTTCTTACTGGCTGACGACAAAGTGCGATAATTTAACCGACCTACTACGTGCACTTGGTGGCATTTATTTAAGTGTGGTTACTTCTGTCTACAAGTGGCAATTAATGAAATTTATTTTTATGAATGATTTCATTACAAGCATGTGAAAAAAAAAATTATTTCTCCACAAACGAGAAATAGATGGCGCCGCTGGAAGTTATGTAGTAGCGGCTTTATGCGGAGACTTAAGTTGACATTTCAACTCAGCGGCTCACATTACGATTTCCTGAATGAAAAAAAAATCATTCAATCGATGGCCACATGGAGTAAAACAGTAAAATGGGTGAGTATGTCTTTTATTTCTTATATAATGTTCAGTAAATGCTCTAGTTCTTCAAAATATTTCTTTTCTTTTTTCTTATCAGTGCAATACAGAATTACTAGCCCGGCTATCACTCGTCGTTGATACATTAAACAAAAGGAATCACTCAGATCCGGCCATTATCAACTCTACAACTAAAAGAAAAAACGGAGTCGTCACCATATCATGGGAAATCGTCACGAAATCAAGAAAAGCTAAGAATTTAGATAAGAAGGTGGAGACTCATACTGAGAAAAGACGTTTGGCATCCATGGACCCAAAACTAGAGGAGATTTTGCCTTTGCATGAGTATCGCAATTTATTGTCTGGCCAAAGAGGGAAAGCCAACTTATCGCCTGCGGAGTCGGCAAGTTCCTCTACCAAATCGAAAGAGTCTCCAAGAAAAACAAGTTTCAAAGAAAAATCAACGAAAAAGGAACATATTTTACAGCAACAAGCAAAGTTGAAGCCGGCGGTTTCAAAAGCTATAAATATAGAGTCAGTGCTACGTAATATTACAGCAAATGATTTCGCAAGCCAATTGGAGCAGTTAAAATTTGCTTATCCTGGTTCCGAGCTTCTTTGGCTTAAAGGCGTTGCAAGTTTTTTCAACGAAAAACTTCTGTTCGATACCGATTCGATATTTTCGGGAAAATCAATGAATTATCCGTGCAATTTAATAAATGCAGAACTTAAAACTGCCGTTCTTGATTTTTTAGAATCGGTGGGAGAAGAGAATTTATCATATTTCTACCACACTTTACTAATTAGTATGACTACGGAGCTTTCCAAGAATTTACCAATTGTGGGTTACAAGTTCATACTTCAATTAATTGGCCGACATTGGCCACATGTTGCATCGAATAACATGGCGAAACTTGCTTTATTACGAAATTCTTATCAAAATAGGCGCATCATTTGTTTAAGCATACTTTGGCCAATTGGCCAAGGTGGCTTAGAGCAGATAACAGAGGGAATCAAAGTCTGGCAAAATTTAATGTTACCCACTCTCGAATTAAAAAGCTATACAAAATTCACAACGGAATATTTAGAGAAAGTTTTGAGGGCATCCGATGAGAGTTGTACCATAACTTTGAATCAAAATGAATTCTTCTCGTTCGACAACGCATTAAAAACAAGTTATTCCATTCCAAAAGAGAACCAAGAGACCCTAATAACATGTGCACATGGCTTTCTGATTAAGTACATTTTATCCAGCAGCAAGCATGCAAACATATTTCTTACGCTTTTCCGTAATATTGTGGAACCAAGCAGAAGTCGCAGTGAGTTAGCTGGATGTCTTTGTTGCCTTGTAAATAGTGAAGATAGCTTTAAAGTATGGAAGATGAATTACAAAAAGCAACTGCTGTCATCCTTTTTGCTATTTAAAGAAATAGAAAGGCAACTGGATAATGATGATAAAAATGTTTTAAAGCTGGCTTGTTCCAACCCATTTCGTACATTTCTGGAGGAAGCTCAAAAGCTCAATGATGAACTAGTTACGTGTTTTTTTTTTGCGCTCTTGAATCGCATTGGTTTGTCGGCAAGGGTGGTGCGCTTTATCCGTTCGCCTCCATCTTTTTGTCGTTGTCGTGGTCATATTTTCTTTGTTTTGTATAATAATTTTTGCATATAGACGTGTGTGAATTATTTAGAACTGAATGCTAGAAATGGATGCTCAAAAGCTGACTGATTTGCTCCGGGCCACTATCGAGCCAAATCCTGAGCAGCGAAAGGCGGCAGAGGACCAATTGGCACAAATTCACAAGATAATTGGATTTGTTCCAACAATATTACAAATTGTTATGCAAAGCAATGTTGATCAACCAGTTCGTCAAGCAGGGGCGATTTATCTAAAAAATCTAATTACGAACAGTTGGTCTGATCATGAGTCCAAAGCAGGCGAGCCAATACCTTTCTCAATTCATGAACAAGATCGTGCTATGATACGCGGATTAATTGTGGATGCGATTGTACATGCTCCAGATATTATAAAGGTTCAGCTAGCAGTATGCGTAAATCACATTATCAGAAGTGATTTTCCTGGGCGCTGGCCACAAGTAGTGGACAACATCAGCATTTATCTACAAAATCCAGATGTCAATGGATGGAATGGCGCGCTCCTGACTATGTATCAATTAGTAAAGACATATGAATACAAGCGCTCAGAAGAGCGTGTTCCTCTACATGAAGCAATGAATCTTCTTCTTCCAATGATCTACCAACTGATGGTTAACTTAATGAATGATCAATCGGAACAATCGATGTTGCTTCAAAAGCAAATTTTAAAAATTTACTACGCCTTAACCCAGTACACACTGCCATTGGATCTTATAACAAAAGAAACGTTTTCGCTGTGGATGGAAATTTGCCGGCAAATCGCTGAAAGGCCAATACCAGACTGCTCACATATTGATGATGAGGAAAAACCAGAATTTCCATGGTGGAAAGTAAAGAAATGGGCCTTACATATAATAGTACGCATGTTTGAACGCTATGGCAGCCCGCGTAATGTTGTAAGTGAAAAGTATCAGAAATTTGCAGAATGGTATCTTCCTACGTTTACATCAGGCATTTTGGAAGTACTGTTAAAGATTTTAGACCAGTATCGAAATCACATTTACGTCTCACCTAGAGTTCTAACTGATATTTTGGCTTACTTAAAAAATGCTGTGAGTCACTCATATTCCTGGAAATTAATAAAACCTCACATGGTCGCTATAGTACAAGATGTAATATTTCCAATTATGTCTTTTACTGATGCTGATCAAGAGCTGTGGGAGACTGATCCACATGAATACTTGAGATTAAGACTATCCAAGAAAAAACCGCACAACAAAACAAGAAACAAAGCACTGAGCAGAATAAATGTGGGATCTGCAAGTGGATCCTGGGCAGTTTTGTATTGATCACAGTGATTGCTGCTGTGTTGATCTACGACACGAATTTAAATGGGAAAGGTGTGTTTGAACATTCAGCTACTGGGAAAGTCTTGAAGAATGCCGGAGTGTTACCGCATGTGGAGAAAGCATGGTACATGTCAATGGGAGCTGCAGCACGTGGTTACAAATGGGCCGATGTCTTCAAATTGTCACGCAATGCCGCCTGTAATATATATGGTGTGCTCTCAGATGTGGTAGCCTTTATGCCATTTAAAAGTATCTATACTGAGTACTCCAAAGCAGCATTCAATCGACGTTATTTGGGATTAATATATTAATTTGAATAAAGTCCTGCCAGCTAGTGAGATTTTCTTACTAAGCATTGAAATGTTACCAACATATGTATATGTAAAGAAAGTACTCGAATATCACAAGTACTCGATACTCCCAACACTAAACATAATATAATGGATTTGCATTATACCAACTCAAGACTCAAGCATACATTCCGAATTATGTTACCTTTGCCCAGGTGAGGACTTAGCATCACACCTTAATCCGCAGGAGAGTGGTAAATTTAACGTGATACCATGTGTTAATAATTTCTGTAAACTCGATTTAGGAACCGAACCTTCTGTAACTAAATGGAAACGGCAGTTGAAATATACGGGTTGCAACGAGGAGCTGTCTTACGATTCTTCTATCTAATGGTTAGACTTCGAGGGTCTCTGCTATGTGTAGGTGAGTGATGAAAAGATTTTCATATGATTTATTGAACATGTTGTTAGAAACCCAGGCGAGTTGATGTGGTGGTGTTATAGGACCGGCATATGTGTGTTTTTGTTGTTGCCCCTTTTTTATATTTCAAATACGCTTGTAGGCAATTGTGAAAATTTTTCGACAGTATATATATTGAAATATTGTCGGCAATGGGCTGGCAATTGTCACTCTGACAAAATTGTCGCCACAATAGCGAAAAAACTAAATAGCCGCGTCGGAGAGCTTTCACAGGAGAATTTAGTGAATTTATTTATATGGTAATTGCGCGCATTTCGTTACCTTTTTACTTTAATTTGAATGTTTCTCAAAACTAAAATAAAGCGCAAATGCAATTATTACATATGAATTTCATATAAATTTCATATGACTGGCGTCAATTTTTCACCGATAATTTTAAACCCGACAATGACAATTTTTCACATTTTCAATGGAATCTCTCATGAGGTATAGAAGTGGAATTTGTCTGGGTACTGACGGAGTGGAATATTGATGTGGTTGGTGTCTCGTTGAGAGGGTTAGGTAATCATATAAGGGGTAGAATCAAGAAGCATTCGGTGGCTTCTCAATTCTCTCGTTGTACGGTGGCAGTAGGATAAGTTTTGCCAGCGGTCGTGTTACCTGACCCTTCTCTGTGGTGATGTCCACCACACGCACTCGGTTGTCGGAACCGGGGTGCAGGTTGATTACTCTGCCTAATCTCCATTCGTTAGGCGCTAAATTGTCCTCTCTTATAACGACGAGATCACCGATCTCCATATTCTGCTTTGGATTTTTCCACTTAATTCGCTTCTGTAGTTCGGATAGGTATTCTGACTTCCATCGCCTGCAAAAGGTTTGATGTAAAGCCTTTAATTTCTGCCACCTATTTATTATGGAGGCTGGGTTTTCATTTACATCTAATTCCGGTGGCGCGAGTAAATGACCGCCTATGAGGAAATGACCGGGAGTTAGAGGCTCCAAGTCAGTTGGCTCGTTCGATGAGGGACTTAACGGTCGCGAGTTGAGACAAGACTCAACTCGGCATAATAAGGTACTGAGCTCCTCAAAGGTGTATTTGTGGGTGGATGCAATCTTTTTGAAGTGTTTTTTGAAACTTTTTACACCCGCCTCCCACAGTCCGCCCATGTGAGGAGCTGCTGGGGGTATAAAATGCCATGTAAGTGTTTGATGACTATATTTCGATATGGTTTTATCACGCGCTTCTGCTATGAACGCCTTCATTTCAGATCGTAATGATCGAGAAGCTCCGACAAAATTGGTACCGTTGTCGGAGTACATGTTTTTCGGACATCCTCTTCTACCAACAAACCTAGCGAATGCTGCCAGAAAGGATGGGGTGCTGAGATCGCTTGTCGCTTCCAAGTGAATTGCTTTAGTCGTAAAACAAACGAAAAGGCAAACGTAGCCTTTGGAAATGCGGCAACCGCGGCCGCGATAGCTCTTAATCTCAAAGGGCCCGGTAAAATCGACACCTGTGTTTGTAAACGCACGCGAGAATGTTGTACGTTCTTTCGGTAGGTTACCCATAAGTTGGGTTTGTGACCGTTTCTTATAGATAGTGCAGACTTTGCAGTTGTGGATGACGGACCTGATCATGTTTTTGACTCGGGGAATCCAATATTGCGTCCTAATGAGACGTAACATTAGTTGGTTTTCCCCATGCAAAGAAATCTCATGGACAAACTGGACAAGAAGGCGAGAAAATCTACAATCGTATGGAAGGATAATTGGATGGCGCTCATTATAGGCCAGATCTTGAGACGCGCCGAGGCGACCACCCATCCTCATGATATCATCTCTATCGAGAAATGGATTAAGGGGCAAAACTTCACTCTTCGCATCGATGGATTCCCCGGATTTCAATTTACTATACTCTTCAAAGTAATGTTGCTTTTGACAGATTTTTATCAAGCGTTGAGTCGTTGTTTTAATTTCATCAGCGGAAATTAAAGAAGTCTCGGCTCGAAACGAAGCTCTTGTTTTTGGATGGGTTCTTTGAAAAAATCTTATAATACATGATAAAACTCTCAAAGCCCTAGGCAATCCTGAAAATCTATCTAAAATATTAGTTGCATTATTTATTTTAGTTGCTGCGTGCACATGCACCCTCTTTTCCTCGACTATTGTGTTGTAGTTTGCCTCTTGTACAGGCCATTTAGTTTGGTCTTCTTGTAACCAAGAAGGTCCCTGCCACCACAAGGGATTGTCACCCAATTCGTAAGCAGGCAGTCCTCGGCTGGCTAAATCTGCTGGATTTGATGCCGAATCCACATGCAGCCAGTTCTTATTACCAACTTTTTCTACTATTTTTGTTATCCTGTGGGCGACAAAGGTCGACCACGAACAAGGCGGCTTTCGTATCCACGCGAGAACGATTGTTGAGTCCGTCCACAGGTGTGCTTTTAAATGTCCCAAGTCAAGATTTCTCAGTACCGTCTCGATGATTTCTGCAAGCAGTACGGCGCCGCAAAGTTCCAATCGAGGTAATGAGATAGTCTTTACTGGGGCTACTTTTGTTTTTGCCAAAAGTAGACTTACGAAAACTTTTGCATTTTGTGTAACGCGCAGATATACAGCAGCCGCATACGCTTTTTCCGATGCGTCACAGAAGCCATGTACTTCGACGTCATCTGTTGGTGAGAAATGTACCCATCGAGGTATTCGTATGTTATCGATCTCATGGTAATGTTGTGTAAAATTTTTTCCAGCGATCCAGGGTAGTTGGAGTTACGGTTTCATCCCAGTCCGTGCCTTCCAGCCAAATACCCTGCATTAGTATTTTGGCTACGATTATGATGGGCGCGAGCCACCCCAGGGGGTCGAAAAGTTTGGCGATAGCTGATAATATCGCCCTTTTCCTTGGATTATCGCTTTCTTCTAATGGTCTCGCCATAAAATAGAATAAATCGGTATGGGCGTTCCATCTTATGCCGAGAGCCTTCACTGCGCTAGTTTCTTCGAATTCAAGAAAATCTTCGGTTAGCAGATTCGTTTTTGGAATGTCTTTCAGTAAATCTTCGCAATTGGCAGTCCATTTTCTTAATGGAAAACCGGCTGACTCTAACACTTGGGTTATTTCATCTCTGGCATTTATCGCAGAGTCAATGCTGTGTCCTTCCGTTAGAACGTCGTCGACGTACATGCATCTTCGTAAAATATTGGATGCTATCGGAGAGGAGTTTTCCACATCATCAGCTAGTTGTAAAAGTGTCCTTATTGCCAAGTAAGGAGCACAGTTAACCCCGAAAGTGACCGTCTTCAGCTCGTAAAGACTGATCGGTTCGTTCGTATTGGTACGCTGGTTCATATCCGGCTCGAAGGACCAAAATGTAAAACCCCGGGCGTCGCAAGGTTCGCAATTGGACGCACCAGTGTTTTATAATGTGGAAGAAAATAGAAAAATAGTGAAATAATGGATTTAGTATTTTGTAACGTTTATTTTAATCAACTATTTTCGACAGTGATATATATATAT